GTGTGCCTGTGTGCTGAGTGTGTGTTGACCTACGGGAATTGCTCCTTGTCGAGAGAGCCTCAGATGAGCCTGTGCTGGGTGACCGGGGGAGAAGGTTTCCCTCCAGCACAGCACCACGTCTCTCCTCCCTTCTGCCACTCACCTCGGAGAACATGGGCAGTTTTTTGGCAAAGTCCACCACACGGGTGATGGCCGGGGTGATGATCTTGGTAAACTCGCTGAAGGCTTCCAGGTCCACCTTGTCTCCGTCCGGCATGGAGACAATGGGTGACTGGCCAATGTCATCGGGCTAGAGAGAAAGACAGGGGTCAGCTGGGGCTGCAGACCCCTTTCAGCCTCTCACTGAGGCTGCCTGCCCACCAGGGGGAGCTCCAAGGCAGCTTGGGGAAGAAGGGCCGCAAGTGCCTGAGTCCCAGCCTCAAAGCTTTTCCTTCACCTTGAGCAGAGAATAGACCAGAGCCAGAGTCAGCTAATAATAACAATGGTAACAACAGTAGTAGCAGCTATAATGACTAAATACTTAATATATGATCAGGCATCAGGCTACATGTTTTACATGTCTTATTTCATCCTGACCGTAATCCTAAAAGGAATAATTATAATAATCACCATTTCACAGATGTGGAAACTAAGGCACGGGGCAGCTAAGTAATAAGGTTAAAGTCGTATGACCAGCAAGTGGTAGGACCAGGGTTTGAACTTGGGCAGTTTGACTGCTGACTGTTATACATCTGCTTGGAATCAGAGCCCGTGCCCTTAACAGTGCACTGTGCCACCCTCTGGCATGCTCCACCATGAGCCAGGAGCTGGTTTTCTGCCTTCCTTCACCACACAGAGTCAACTGTCCATCTCCTCCCAAACCGACCACTTTTTTTTTTGAGAGAGGGTCTTGCTCTGTTGCCTGGGCTGGAGTGCAGTGGTATAATCATGGCTTACTGCAGCCTCGACCTCCTGGGCTTAGGGGACTCTCCTGCCTCAGCCTCCCGAGTACCTGGGACCACAGGCACACACCACCATGCCCAGCTAATTTTAAAATTATCTGTAGAGAGGCTGAGCACAGTAGTTCACACCTGTAATCCCAGCACTTTGGGAGGCCGAGGCAGGCAGATTACCTGAGGTTGGGAGTTCCAGACAAGCCTGACCAACATAGAGAAACACCATCTCTACTAAAAATACAAAATTAGCCAGGCATGGTGGCACATGCCTGTAATCCCAGCTATTTGGGAAGTTGAGGCAGAAGAATCGCTTGAAGCTGGGAGGTAGAGGTTGCAGCAAACCAAGATTGCGCCACTGCATTTCAGCCTGGGCAACAAGAGCAAAACTCCATCTCAAAAAAAAAAAAAAAAAAATTATTCGTAGAGGCTAGGCATGGTGGCTCACACCTTGTAATCTCAGCACTTTGGGAGGCCAAGGCAGGCAGATCACTTGAGATCAGGAGTTCAAGACCGGCCTGGCCAACATGGTGAAACCCTGTCTCTACTAAAAATACAAAAATTAGCCAGACATGGTGGCGGCTGCCTGTAATCCCAGCTACTCAGGAGACTAAGGTGGCAGAATCGCTTGAACCCAGGAAGCAGAGGTTGCGGTGAGCCGAGATCATGCCACTGCACTCTAGCCTGGGTGACAGTGAGACTCCGTACCAAAAAAAAAAAAAAAATTATTCATAGAGGTGGGATCTCTGTATGTTACCCAGACGAACTCCTGGGCTCAAGCGATCTTCCCACCTTGGTCTCACAAATTGCTGGGATTACAGGCATGAGCCATTGCATCTGGTCCTGAACTAATCATTTACTTAGCCACTAGCTTGACCAGGGCCTAACACAATGCCTGGCACCCAGCAGGCACTCAAAAATACTGTGACATAACTGTATCCTTACCCTCTCCTCCCAGTCACTAGGGGCAGGAAAAAGAAGCAAGGTCACCCTTGCTCCCTGGAAATTCAATGAGGAAGGCAAGGCCCTGTCCTCATGGAGCTCCCAATTGGATGGAGTAGACAGGGTCCAGACAGCAAGGACACAAACGCAAGTGTATAAAATCTGGACAGCAAAAGTGGGAAGAGTATGTATTTTGGGTTGGATTACACTAAGAAGACTTCCTGGAGGAGACAGGACTCTGAGCTCACTCTCCTCTCCCTGCCACCTGGCTGCTGCTCTCCCTATGCCCCCTTTCTCCTTACCAGGAATTTCCGCCTCTGTTTCCAATGGCTGCCCTGGGCATTGGTGCTGCGATGGGCCTCTGTGGCAATGTGGATCAGATCCCACTCTTCAGGAGTGGGTTCTGGTCGCTGCTGCAGTGATCGGATCATCTCCTCCTTCCGCCGCCGCTCCCGGTTCTGCTCAATCAGCTTACGCTTGGCCACCCGCTTCGAGTCATCTAGAACCACTGTCAACAGATAGGCACAAGGTCCGATGCATGGCACCCTCCATTCCCTTTCCATAATGCTCCTGGAAACTACTCTTCCTAGAGTACAGGTTAGGGAAACCGAGGGCCATGGAGGCTAAGTGACTTCCCAAATCACCTAGCAGTTGGGCAGCACAACCTGGATCATGATTAATCCCCGGGACCATGTCAATAACAGTTTGGGCTGATCCAGATGAATATCATGTTCTGGTCTATCGGGTTATGGTGATGGTAGTTACTCCAAGATCCTGCTACCCAATCCCCAGCCAATGGAAAATGCCCTGTCTCATCTAGAAGTGGGGTGCCTTCGCTGGGAGTCAAGAACAATGTGCTAGAGTGGGTGCCCAGGAGCTCTTTCTACCAAACAGCTCCTCTAAGGCCCTCGAGTGTTGTAAGGCAGGTAGGCACTGGGGCCCACACAGGGATCCTGTTTCCTTTGACGCAGGAAGAAGGGCAGCAGGAACCAAGACACTGAACCTTCTGCCCTCAGCCTGACCTAGACTGGATTGCCACTCTGCCCTGTGGGCCCTGAGGGCACGCTGGAAGGGAGCTGCCCTCCTGGAACTCATCCCCACCCCAGGCCACCTGGCTCTATTCCCCCCACCCGGGCCCCTTACAGTCCATGGCCATGCCCACGGCGATGCACTTCTTGAAGCGGCAGAGCTGGCACTGATTTCGGGTGATCTTGTCAATGACACAGCAGCTGTCATATTTGCAGGAATAAGTGGGATGGAGGTTCTTCTGGATTGTGCGGCGAAAGAAGCCCTGGGGTAGGGGGAGATGGAGCAGGCTGTGATCATGACATGGCTTCCCCTTTCTGAACCAACCATGCAGTTCACTGGGGGTCAGGGGTGGAGAGCAAGGAAGGTAAGATCAGTGAGGGGACCTGGCATCCTCCTGACACCACAAGTCCAAGATTACTGGGCTTGAGGACCTGAGAAATACATGCCCTCAGCCCCAGGCTGCTGAGGGGTTGGGGGTGCCTGGGTAGTGTTCGTGGCAGAGGTAGGAATGATGACTAGAACAGGCAGCTTTGAACTGGGGATAATGTGAGGCCTTAAGGAATAGCAGCTTTGGAAATCCAAGTCGCGGGGCTCGGTGGCTCATGCCTGTAATCCCAACACTTTGGGAGGCCGAGGCGGGCAGATCAACTGAGGTCGGGAGTTGGAGACCAGCCTGACCAACATGGAGAAACCCCATCTCTACTAAAAATACAAAATTAGTTGGGCGTGAGGCCGGATGCTGTGGCTTATGCCTGTAATCCCAGCACTTTGGGAGGCTGAGGTGGGTGGATCACAAGGTCAGGAGTTCAAGACCACCCTGGCCAACATGGTGAAACCCCATCTCTACTAAAAATACAAAAATTAGCCAGGCATGGTGGTGTGCGCCTGTAATCCCAGCTACTCAGGAGGCTGAGGCAGAGAATTGTTTGAACCTGGGAGGCAGAGGTTGCAGTGAGCCGAGATTGCGCCACTGCACTCCAGCCTGGGCGACAGAATGAAACTCTGTCTAAAAAAAAAAAAAAAAAAAAGGCTAGGCACGGTGGCTCACGCCTGTAATCCCAGCACTTTGGGAGGCCGAGGCAGGTGGATCACGAGGTCAGGAGATCGAGACCATCCTGGCTA